CCTCGGCCTCCCAGGGTGCTAGGATTACAGGCGTGAGCCACCGCGCCCGGCCTAAATATACTCTTACCATACAATCCAGCAATCACGTCCTTGGCATCTAACCCAAATGAGCTGAAATGTATGTGCACAAAAAGCCCTGCATAGATATTTATATAGCATTTTATTCATAATTGCCAAAGCTTGGAAGGAACCAAGATGCCCTTTAATAGGTACCTGGATAAACTGTGTGACAGGCACACAATGGAATATTACTCGCCCCTAAACTGAAATGAGTTATCAAGCCAGGAAGACGTGGTAGAATCTTAAACTCATGATACTAAGTTAAAGAAGCCAATTGAACAGGTTATGTACCATGATTTCAATTATACATTCTGGATAAGGCTAAAATATGGAGACTATACAAAGATCAAGGGTTTGAGGAGGAGGGATGAACAGTGGAACAAAGGGATATTTAGGGCAGTGAAATTATTCTGTATGACATAATAGCAGAATCATGTTTTTGTGTATTTGTCAAAATAAACAAAACACACAACACCAAGAAAGAACCCTAATGTAAACAACAGATTTTGGGTGCTGATGATGTGCCGATGTTGTTTCACTGATTGTAACAAATGTACCACTCTAGCGGGGGATGCTGACAGTGGGGGCGGGGGGGCTGTCGGAGGAGTGGCTATGCAAGTGTGGGGATGGGATACATGAGACATTGACGGCAGGGGAGGCTATGTGTGAGTTGAGAGGATAGGGACTGTCTGTATTCGCCACTCAATTTTGCCTAAAATGTGCTCATTAAATAAAGTGAACTAATACTAACAGGTAGTTATACGATTATTGTTCTCTATAGATTTTATCCACTTTAAGACATGTAAAAAATGAAGTTTTGTTCCAAGTCTCCAAGAGTCCAAACTTACTAGTTGTACTGTATGATGAGTTCTATATTCATCTTCACTCCGAGTGCGCTGTTGGAATTTTTCATTGTGTTTTGCAATACAAATTTCCTATAAATACATAAAATGTGTTTTAATACAAGTGAAACTTGAAAGATTCTGCAGACCACACTAAGGTTTATTTGATAAGTTTTAATCTTAATATATACCACCTGTATAGCAAGGTACCACGTAAACTACTCCTTGTGTCTTATCTGGACTACTGAAGCTGCGTGAGCCAAATAAAATCGGGATCTTACAAAAGACTATTAAACTATTAACTTCTTGAGCACATTAACTGCCACATGAGTTGTATTTAAACTCATACTAGTTTTGAGCCCAGAGCCTGGTAAAGCATACATAACTCACAGGTCTCTACCTCGGGACCCGCATGAACTATTTTTCAAGTTGCATATAACTCACACACAGAAAACAATAAAAAATAATCAATTTTTTTCATTAATTTACATAGGAGCATTTTGTATTTGAAGTTTTTATTCTATTTTCATAATAAAACACCATGGCCCAAGGAAAAGAATTTTTTTTTCCTAGGGTGGTAGTCAATGTGCTAGACCTCTCGATTTCTCCTTTTCTGGAAGGGTAGGGATGATACAAAGCGGGGTAAAGGTATCCTTATATAATCTGAAAGATCTCTTTCAAGTCTGAAGTCTGTGGCCAGAAGCTTTAAAGTCTCATTATACTCTTTAAACACGTCTGGGCAAAAAAAAGACTATACAACTCTTGTTTTAAAAGTCTGTATTTTTAAGCTCTCTCTGGTGAGTTAAATCGTGATTTTATCCAGACTGGTTTTAAACAGTATCATGAGATCTGAATCTTCTGGTCATAGACATCAGAGCTAAAAGAAACCTTAAAGACTAGAATGTCAATATTATAAAAAATTATTTTTGTAAATATAAACTATAAAATGTCTTTTCTAGTTACAATATAAAATAGGAGATTTTTATAATAATTAGGAGAGATGTGCTTCTTTATAAAGTAATGCACTATAATCTTACTGAAAAATATTTAGCAGCACCAAGCTAAATCTTCACTTAACCTGCACCCTTCCTAATTTAACTATCCTCTGGTTCTTGAGATAAAAAGGTTGACATTAGTCTCCAACATACCCCAGCTACAGCATTTGTCTTTCTATCAGAGAAAGTCACACAATAACCTTTAAAGTCAGTAAACTGTACTTTAAAGCAAAATGACAAACATCATGTTCTTCATCCACTCTGGTTCACTCTTGCCCAATAAGAATCTGCCCGGAGCCATTGGGAAAACAAAGGTAGCATTACTTAGTGTCGTGATAGTATAGTGATATAGTGACTCTGGCTCCTGAGTCACACAGATGTAGTATGGAATCTGTACCCCTGCCTCATACAAACTGCTTTATTTATTTCACTACGAGAAGCCTTCGTAAACTTCGTTATAAAATGAGGATACAGGTCCACAATCGTTTACCCAGAACAGAGGTAAAGTGTGTTGTGAAATTCAAACTTTTTTCATATTTTAGAGAATGGTGTGGTATGTTGCATATGTCATATATAACCTAATAACTTGAGTAGGATGTGAACCCATACCCCAAAGTAATAATATTTTTCCAGTGAAATGTTATGAATAGAGTGAGATCAAGATTAATAAATAACTTCGTGTCAGTTGAGACCTGGTTTTGCCACCAAATTAAGTATGAAAATGCTTCCGATCTTCTTAGCTTTCTAGATTTCAGGCAAGGGCTACCGTATTTGGCTACTGGGAGAACTAAAGAAGATAAAAAATACGTAAAGAATAATGTTACTTCTATTACTTTTCTTGAAGCATTTAATCACAAAGCACTGACTTCAAGTCCTCACGGGATAGACAGAGACCACCTATCTCCACTCTTTTAAGAGGTAAGGTAGGACACGATTTGCTTTTAATGAGAACTAGCCCTTGGTATGCAATCCTACTGTGGTGACAGAGAAACCAAGGAGCTAGTAACCTTGGCAATGTCAATATGTAAACAAGCAAATATTGGATGGTGTTACATAGGGAAGCTTATTTTTATCTTTTTTTCTTGCATATTTGCTTGTCTCAGTTTCTTTTTAGGACTTGGTGTATCTCGTTTCCTGTCTTTTCACTAATCTTACGTCACTCCTTCCCTCTGAAGTTATGTCACTTCAGTTGGTGGCTTGGGGGACGGGAACACAAGTGTAAATGGGTAGATTCTCCAGGGGTGGCTTCCCTCGGATTTAGATTAAGATAAGAATGAAGACTGAAGAATGTTGATTAAATTGATATGAGCTAATATATGCCAACAAGGGAAGAGTTAAGGGAAGAGCTGGAAGAGTTTGGCCTGAGTCAGGCTCTTGATGCCACTAAAAGAGTACAGTTATGTGTGCCCTGGTCACCAAGGTTACTCCTTCTTCGCCACTGACCTGTGTGCGGCCAGCTTCCTCTGTTATTCCTTTAGTCTCTATTCTAGACCTCTGCTACACTCCCTTTGAGACTGCTGTGATCTAGCTCTTGCCCCCAACTCTCCCCACAAAATTCTCAACATAAGGCCCCAGTATTCTCAAATACTGAATGTCGTGGAGCCCCCTAATTTCTTTCTCACTTGACCTCTCTGAAGTACCTAACACTGCTGACCACTCTACATGGTAGAATCATCTTTCTTCTTCACTTCTGTGAAACTTCAAGCTCTCCTGCTTCTTCTAACTTCAACAACTGTTTCTTTCTCTTTGATCCCTTTCTTCTGCACATACTCAAGTGTCTGGCAGCATTCTTTCCCTCATACTACATCAGAGCAGCTCAACCTATGCCCTGTACAATGTCTTCTTATGCCCTAGCCAAGAATGTTTTGTTGAGCTTTGCTTACTGAATTAATATTTAAGTATAAGGAAGATTTTTTCCCACCCAATTATGGACTTCCAAAATGTTGAAAAGGAGTGGTAAGAGGGGACAGCTTTGCCTTGTTCCTGATCTTAGCAGGAATAAGTTTCCCACCCAGTTGTTCCTTCCTATCAGCCCCAAACCTCCACCCGTACCACTGCTAAGAATCACCTACTCATTAAGTTCTTCTAGGACCACTCTTGTATTACCACTCTTGTCCCATAGTCATCTCTACCTGGATACCCCATGACCTCTTATATGCAAGTCTAAAACTTAGCTCGTCACCTGTCACCCATATGTGCTCTTCCTCTGGGTTTTCCATCTTGGTTGGTGGCATCATCACCCATCTCAATGCCTAATTCAGAACATGGAAGGCTGCTGGAGAATAGCGCCTCCTTCTCCTTCGCCACTTATCACTAAATCCTATTGACTCTCTACTTCTGCAAAGTGTCAGATCTATATATTTCTCAGATTTGTATATCCCTTACGATCTACATGGCCACTAACTTAGTTCATAGTCTTAACATCTCAACTTGATTGAGGTAGAGAATAATGTGACACCTTCCAAACAGAACCTCTGAGTCTCTTTTCTCTCTAACCTATTTTTCATGTTGCCTCATCTTCCTAAAATTTCAATCTGTTCATACTACCCCTTTGCTTAACATTTTTCAATAATTTGCACTATCTTCAGAACAAAGCCCAGGCTTGTTAGTGGCGTATATAAAACTTTCCATAACCCAGTCCCTGCAGCATGTCTTACCCTGTATAGTGCCCTGAAGCTATTTTCTGCTTCGGTGTCTCTGGCTAAGCCTCTTTTGTTCTGCTTGGAATTACCCCCAACACCATCAATCTGGCAAATTTCTATTCGGGTGTTAACACCCAGTCCAGCATCATGTCTTCTAAGCCTTTCCTTACTCCCGTCTCTTCCCCTGTTGCTACCTGGCAGAACATTCAACTGTTCACCTGGTTTGCCTTCTCTATAAGGCTGAAAGGAACAGGGACTGTGCCTTGCTCATCTTTGTATCCCAAGCCTTACAATTTGCCTAGCATATGGTTGAATTAAAATGAATCAGACTTCTGACTAAGTCTGAATTGTATCGTATTTTCAAAAACTTTTGAGGTTCACAAAACTCTAACTAGTTTCTAAGGTACTATATTATACACCTAAAAGTAATATATAAAATAATGTTTCTAATATACCTAAATAGTCTATTCTTTTAAAGTATACTTACATTTCATTCTCCTCTCAAACTTTTTTCTATAGACAGTGCTAGGACCTGCTGGAATCACTGCAATGTTTACCTGGTTGGCACAGGCTGAAATATCAAGCTCACAACCATCAGGCCCAGGCTTGAAAAAATAGGGAGTTTCAATTACCATTGTCTTATGGAAATAGGAAAGGCACAGAATTATGTGAAAGCCATGGCTCTGGATGCCAAGGTAACTGCTCTGTGTGGATGGGCAAAGTGACTGAAAGGTCTTGGGCTCTGACTTACTGTGGAGTGATGCCTGCCTGAATTTCTTTAATGTGCAAGAGTTATCTATTTCAAAAAACAAAGGCCTTTGATTTTCTGTGGAATGGGAAAGTAGAAGCCCTGGGAATGTGGTGAACAGCGAGAAGTGGGTTATCAGAGAGCACTTTTTCCTGAATATCTGAGTCTAACGCAAATCAGTACGAGGCAGTCATAGGTTTGTGATCATAGCTCACTGCAGCCTTGAACTCCTGGGCTCAAGCGATCCTCCTGCCTCAGTTCCCAAATAGCTGGACTACAGATTCACGCCACTGAGCCTGGCTAATTTTTAAAAAAAATTTTTGTTGTGTTTCAAACATTTTGAAATGTGCTCAAAATTAAAAACAAATAAGTAACGATCTATAAAATTTCTTCAAGACTGAGGTAAGAAGACTTGTATAGCATTAGTGGCCTCCTTAAATAAGACAGGAGCCAGGAATTGCATTAATATAGGATCCTGTAGTCATGGCTTTTAGCAGAGTTGCCTTTAGGGTTTCTGAAGGTAAAGAGCTCATCACCACTGGCTGTTCCAGTATGTTTAAAAGGGCAATTCACAAGAGAACTATGTGTGTTTAATAAAATGGACTAAGCTCTGACAAGAAGTTAACTCTTAGTTCTAAAACATGCAAGTTCTACTGACAGAAAACAGATTAGAATTAGTGGACATGGATCAAAAATTAAGTAATGAAAAAAAAAAGACTAAGTAATAAATCAAAGTAAGACTTAAATACCTTTTTATTTCTGAGGTATGCTTTTTTAGCTGAAACCCGTCCTCGTCTTGCTTCCAGCTGGCGTGCTTTCTGCTGAAGTTTCTGCAGCTCTTCTCTCTGTAAGTACACAGACGCTGCCATCTCCTCCTTCTCCAGCATTGCCTCCATACTTTCGTAAGTGTCATAGTACACCACTTCATCTCTCTTTTCTGTCACAGAGCAGCAACAAGGGGTAGTGGTTAAGAGCATGGGCAAGTGTTTAGCAGTGTCTGTCACGCAGTAAGCACTAAACTAATGCCAAACATCACCCCCATGCCCCCCCCAATTTTTTTTTAACATCTTAAGAGAGGAAACAGCTGCAAGCTATGAGCATTTTCCCCATATATTCACTCTTTTGTGGAATTACATGCTTAAAACCCACATCGTACCCGATATAAGTCTTTTGATGCTTTCTAGTTGTGCTGTCAATAGTAGCTCTTCACACTTCAAGATTTCAAACTGTACTTCATACAACTGAAGTTGCAGATCATAATAATCAGCTTCTAACTGATCCAATCGGGCTATAGCTTCTGTACCACCCTGCAAACTCTGCATCTGCATTGAAAATAAAAATATTTCTCGTTGGTGGGAGACAAGAAAAAAATCAACTTATGCCTAGAAAATAATATTAATCAGATAGGATAAATCATGAAGCAACTGCTCTCAAAGAAACCTGTAGTCAAGAAATCTAGACTTTTAAAACATATAAAAACAGTAGTAATCAAGTCATATGGTTGTAGAAGTAAGGAGGCTAACGTGATAAAAACAAGGTTTTTAATATTTACTTTATAGCTCATTCATATTTCTCGTCCTGACATAAATGATGGCCAGGTGCAGTGGCTCACATCTGTAATCCCAGCACTTTGGCAAACTGAGGCAGAAGGGTCACTTGAGCCCAGGAGTTCGAGGGTGCAGTGAGCTATGATCACACCACTGCACTCCAGCCTGGATGACGGAACAAGATCCCTTTTCTTAAAAAAAATATATTAATAGTGTCTCCTTTTACTCTCAAAAGTGGATGGTAAGACATGCAGTTACTCTTTTCATCAGATATATGAAAATGATTGGGCCATTCTCAGATATTTACAAGAGTGGTAAAAGCTGATTAATCCCACACATCTGGGGCTTTGCTTTGTTCCATGGTCACAGTCTGGTAGCTTCTGGGTTTTGTTGACTGAAGAGTGAGGTGAGTGTATGTGAGCAGAACAGAACTGCTTTAAGATGGAAATCCTTGCAATCTACAGGTAACGGTCACTATTATCTTTAAGTAATTGCAAGCAGAGTTCTAGATTGAACCTAAAGTGTGATTCAGAAATTTCTCAGCATAGCTCACAAAGTCATGAATGGTCTTACATGAGATTCATCTAGTTGGTTGGTTTTTGGCCCTCAAAGGAGAAAAAAAATTTTGCTGAGAATCCACTAGGGGAAAAGTATGCTTCGGATATGGGTTCCTAACCCTACCATTTCCATGGCTTCCCATTTGGCTCTCTGGAGAAAGGCAGCTGCAAGAAGCTGAAAGAATGGCTTTTCAGTAGTCTGTGAGAAGTGAAGTACAAGCATAATTTGCTAGTGAGAATGAGTAAGCATTTCCCCAAGAACATTTCTTCCAAGAACACAGCAAAAGGGCTTTGGCAGGTTAAAGGTTCATGCTTAGAAGCTCCAGGAGAGCCCTGGCATGCACATCAGTGTGCCCTGGGAGCCCTAGCAGCAATGGTGGGGAGGACTTGGCCTCAAGTGGCTTCCGAAGGAGTGACCAGTAAAGGGGAAGGAACAAAAAGGAAAATCAGAGTATTATTTATGAGCTCATGTGAGACATCACCTGGGACCCCAGAATTCCAGAGAAATACTTGACTGGCAGTCCTAGAGAGCTTACAGTGGCAAAAATAGTGAATTCTTATTGCTGCTAACTGATCTGTGTGGTGAAATTGGTGAAAACATGGTAGAACACAGAGTATGTTTTAAATAAGATCCCAGTTTTAGCTTTAAAGTCTAGATATCCGCACAGTCTTACCCAATGACTAGAATATTTTTTTCCTTAATACATAACTTAAAATCCCTGTAACATGAATTTTGAACTGAAAAGCAATGGTTAGGCTCTATCTAAATGTGCAGTGGCATAAATTTAAAATTAACAAGTGATACTGTTAATATAGTGATACATAATAAATTTTATAAATTAAATGAATACTTAAAATAAATTATCTAATTTGTAAGCCAATGAGTGATCCTGCTGCATTAGGAAATATTTTATGAGTAACAATATATATAACCACCTCAAAGTGGGTTTTTTATAGTAGCTAGAGAGAGGAATGCTGACAACATGAAATCCTACTGTTTTTGTCCTGGGTCATTAATAAGAACCTGGGAATAATTTTCTACACTAAGACTCCCAGGTTCACTTTAAATTATAAGCATCTCTTTTCATACAATCTTGGGGCTCCTGTCCTGCTCTGGAGACCACAGCCCCAATTTGTATCGTATTACCTATACCCACATTCTCTGTAACCACAGCATACAAACAGATGAAATACCTAATGTTAAAGTCTTTATTCTCAAGTGGAGACTCAGTTAACCTTAGTGTAAATCTGTCTAAAAACCTTAATTTAAGATCACTTTCCAGTGACATTGTTCAGGTCGAGGCTGTTAGTTCCACTTTTGTTACTCTGGTTCTCTCCAGCTAAGTGATTGTTTATCTACTATGTTCAACATGCTATGCTAAGTTCTTCCCCTGTACTTTCCAGGTGTGTCTATCCTGTCCAGTACTGTCAGCTGCCTCAACGGCCAAGTAGGGCAGTGCTCTGACCACTGCCCGGAGCCGATGTACCTTAAAAACATTTGAGAAGCATAGTGCTACCAGGATACAGTCAATATCAAATATCAAGCTGAGAAAGGAAGCGAGTATTCTCTTACAAGCAGTGACCTCACCCCCAATTTTCTGGTTCAGTGAGCACTATCTAGAGCAAGACTCCAAAGATGGATTTATTTGCCAAGGGCTGGGTTCCAAAGAATAAAACCTCATCAGAGGCAGATGGGCAGACCAGGAGTCTGTTAAATCACAGCCCCCAAAAGAGCAAACAAAAGGGCAGTGGTGGGCTTTAGGAAAAAGTTTTCACAGGATCAGAGTACACAAGGCTTTTATGGGGTAAGCTAAAGAGAAAGTAATGACATGAGTCTGAGAAAGGTGGGATGGCAAGATGGTACTCTACGGTTTATCTAAACATCAACATGGAAGAAAATACTTAGCGTATGGCATGAAGAGGTATGACAGGTGGGCACATGCTCTAAATCTCCTATAACATCTGGAATTTCCAGACTGACTTTTCCTGTCTTCAGCTGAAAGCCACACAAGTAAGGGAAAGGAAATCCAGGGTAAAAAGAGAACTAATTTCAGATAATTAAGGAGTGCAGAGAAGGTAGGTGCCACAATGGGGGTACCTGTGTTATACCTGGGGGCACTATTTCCCTAGGCAAGAAGGAAGCCCAAAAGGTAGATTAAATATTCAAAAGAAAATCTGGCTGCCTTCAAATTTTACTCATCTCTACTTTCACCCACCTGAACAAACACATTTTTTTTGTTTGTTTGTTTTTGTTCTCGGAGTTAGAGTCTCACTCTGTCCCTGTGGGTAGAGTATAGTGGCATCATCGTAGCTCACCGCAACCTCAAACTCCTGGGCTCAAGTGATCCTCTTGCCTCAGCCTCCCAAGCAACTGGGACTACAGGTGTGCGCCACCATGCCCATGACAGGGTCTTGCTCTTGCTCAGACCAGTCTCGAACTCCTGAGCTCAAGCAATGCTCAGGGCTCAGCCTCCTGGAGTGCCAGGATTACAGGTGTCAGCCACCACACCAGGTCAAACAAACATACTTTAAAAATCAAGAAATCAAGACCCGAAACCAAACTGTAACTTCCCAATGTGACTTGCAAAGCTGGAAGTAGACCCAAGTCTCCCAATTCCTACAAGAGTGTTCTTTCCACCAGATAAAATTAAAGAGTGCCATCCAAAAAATAAGAAAAAGGTAACAAACTATTTTTACAGTAAATTTGGCAAAGAAATCAAGTATCAATTCATGTCCACACACTGACCGAACTACAATATACACTGATTCCACAGTCATTCTCAATGTGTATAATAATGATATAGTAGTTTTTATATACAGCTATTTTGACTGACTCTATTACATCATGAAATCAGATAGAAAGCAACATATACAAACTAATGACACCCCTGTTCTGCCTTTTCACAGTGTACTAGAAAATTCCTACTGACATTAGAGGAGCTACTAAAAAAACAGAGCTGCGGGTTGACTCATTCCTTCAACAAACACTCACCTAGCACACACCATTGTTTGAGTCATACGAGAATGTGTTTGAATTATAGAGAATGCAATAAACAAGAAATGAAGTGAGGGTTCACAAAGAAGTCATAAAAACAACACATGGCATAAGGGAAATAACATTAAGGGCAAGTTATCAATCAAGACTAGCCTTGTTACATGGAAAAGGTGTAAAGAAAGAACATGAGACTTAGAACCAGACAAACCTGATTATAAATACAGGTTTCCACACTAAGCTGCACAAATAAAGATAATACAAATGGACAGAATTATCCGGAATTCCACATTTCAGAAATCTTGGAAAACTGAAACTTTCCATGATCTCTTTAACATCAACCCTAATCTCTCAATCCATTTGTAGGAAAACATGATCTAAAATTTTGTGAAACCATTGTTAGTCCTTAGTTATTCCATTTAATGTAACTATGTTTCATTACATGGGACAACACTTGTCTGAAGTTATATGCTCTATATTAACTTTCTAAAATCTAAAAATGTAAATTCTGAAATCCCTGCCTCAGGGATTTCAAGATAATGCTTTAAGGGCTTATAGCATAAAGAGTTATGTTTGAGAATTTAACGATAAAATACAAATAAAGCACCAAGGACAGGGCCTAAAACATTTAAAACTTTTCTACCTGCTTTTTGGTAATGGCTGCTAAAATATAATTTAGATGGCAAAAATAATTTAAGTAATATAAATTAAAGCCTTCAGCGTGGAGCCTAGCTTTCAGTATAGGTGATCCTTGGGTTGCGGATGAGACTGGTTCCTAAGAACATCTTGTGTCACATGTGTATGTAACTCAGATCTCTGATGAACAGTGCATGTACGGTAATAATAACAATACATAACGGATCATATGTGGTAATAATACAGTGTAATACTTCAATAATAATACTCCTGTACTGTAGTAACAGTACAGAAACTGTTGTGTACGTTCTTTTAATTCAAACAAACAGAACATAAAAACAAACTCATACAAAAAGTTTAGGTGGGAAAGATTTCAAAAAAATATTAAAGGTTAACATTCACCTAATGTATCAATGCTATGCTAACAGGGATGATATGCTTATTTTGATTAATCAAATCAATAATAACCTTTCCATTTCAGTAATTAATCCACTACACTGCTTAGTAATAATTGATGCTTTCAATGGAGCACTGCCTTTCCCATGTTCCATTATTCTCACTTTATCCTTTTTAATTGTTCTGATAGTCAA